CTCCAGGACTACTTTGACGGGGTGCCCACCACTGTCTACTTCTCGGTAAGAGTGGTCACGGGGGCCGACTGGAGCCCCTGCTCTCCTGGCTGGCCAGAGGCACAGGGAGCCCCGCCCACCCTGGGCCTGCCCTGCAGACACCCCAGAGTCTGCTAGGTCCTCGGGGCCACGGCTCGGGGAGCCAGCGCCACGGATGGCGGAGGGGCAGGCCCGGCCCCAGGAGAGGACGCGGTCATCGTCATCCACGGGAGACAGGCAACCTGAGTGCTTGTGGGGGTCGTCCTGTGGCCCTGGGGGCCTCAGAGCACACTGTTGGATGGGGTCTGACTCAGGACCAGGGAGGGTGGGGGGAGGACCCGTGCATCACGCAATTCTGTCACTCTGGGGGGAGGAGAGGGGGACTGAGGGGCGGGCGGTCATGCCCACCAGCCACGACCCCCCCTCAGGGTACATGGCAGCGACCCCAGTGCTGGGCTACAGTGGAGACCCTGCCTCGGAGGCAGGGACGCTTCCCCAGATGTGGTGACCCAGGCTGAGCCGCGCAGGGAGCTTCCTCCGGAGTCAGGCCAGCCCGGGGCCCCTGTTTAGACCCGACGTCTTGTCTTCCTCCTGGTTCCCAATGCTGGAGGGTGGCTGCACCGTGGCGTCATGGGTCCAGGAACACAGTGGCTCAGAACCCGGTGGGCAGTGCCCTCAGGGACCTCTCTGCCCGCACAGGCATCGCCGCCTGCACTCTGCCCCCACGGCCGCACCCGGGACCTGGATGCGCTGCTGGCGGTGATGGGGGGCGCCCGGGAGTTCATCTATGCCTCGGTGATGGAGTATTTCCCCACGACACGCTTCAGCCACCCCGCCAGGTAGGCCAGGAGGGAGCCGGGCGGCCCCGGACGGGGGAGGCCTCTCTGCCTGTGGGCAGCTCCTGGCCTGTCTCCTCGCCCACCAGGACCCCTGCCCACTCGGGGCGTGTGCGCAGGGCCCGGTTGACCTGAGGACCCTGACCCTCCCCCGCACCCCTCCCCAGGTACTGGCCGGTGCTGGACACGGCGCTGCGGGTGGCGGCCGTCAGCAGGGGCGTGCGCGTGCGCCTGCTGGTCAGCTGCTGGCTCAACACGGACCCCAGCATGTTCCCCTACCTGCGGTCCCTGCAGGCCCTCAGCAACCCCGCGGCCAACGTGTCCGTGGACGTGGTGAGGACCCACCCCCTGGCCGGGCCGGGAAGCAGCCTCCCTGTTGGCTGACACACCCTCTCTGTTCCCCCAAGAAAGTCTTCATCGTGCCCGTGAGGAACCACTCCAACATCCCCTTCAGCAGGGTGAACCACAGCAAGTTCATGGTCACGGAGAAGACGGCCTACATAGGTGAGCAGGGGGGAGGGCTGCGGGCAGCGGCTCAGGACCCCTGAGTCCTCGTGGGCTGCCGAGCGAGCGGACACCAGCAGAGGGCACACAGGCCCGCAGAAGCGATCGTGTCGCCCGGGCGGTGGCCAGGCCGGGTGCTGAAGGGGGCGCTGTTGTTCCGTCCAGCGTGGACCCTGAGCGGGGACCTGCTGAAGGGCTCAGGCCCTCCCCCATGGAGGCAGGTGGGGACCCCTGGCACCGAGCCCCCCCGAGCACTGAGTCCGTGGGCTGCTGGGGTGCAGTCCCTCACGTGAAGAGCGGGCTGCACTCGGAGCCAGAGAGGCTGCAGGGCTGGAGCCGGACCACGGCAGAGTGGCCGCTGGGGCCATCGGGCTGGGCCAGACAGCAGAGGACCCCCCCCTGCGGCCCAGTAACCCAGCGTCTCCGCCCACAGGCACTTCCAACTGGTCGGAAGATTACTTCAGCAGCACCTCAGGTGTGGGCCTGGTGGTCAGCCAGAGGGCCTCCAGCACGCAGCCAGGGGCGGCCCCCGTGCAGGGGCAGCTGCGACAACTGTTTGAGCGAGACTGGAGCTCCCGCTACGCTGTAGGCCTGGACGGACAGGCCCAGGGCCAGGACTGTGTTTGGCAGGGCTGACGTCCAGCTCTTCCTGGCTGCGGAGCCCCACTGCTCCCGACCGGGCCTCCCTGCCTGGCCCCCAGTCTGGACCCCGAGCAGCTCCATCCGCACAAGCCCTGGTCAGGGGCAGGACTGCCCAATGCAGGGCAGGCGCAAACTGTTTGCTCTCCAAATCTAGCCCCTCTTAAACCCCCACCTCCTCCACGGAGCCCTCCAGGATGCCCTCCCTGGCTCCCACAGAGCCGCAATTCCTGCCCACACACGGAGCCTTTACAATACTGTGTGCCTCCCTGTTTCTTCTGTGAGTCCTGGGTCAGGCTGCGTCCCACCTTCTCAGCCCCAGGCTGGAGTTCAGCCTCTACCCACCTGGGAGGCGCCTGTGTCCACGAGGCCACATTGAGGCGGGGCTGGGCTTCTGCCATGCTAGCCCCTGACTCTCCCCAGCGTCCAGCCTCCCGCCCACAGGAACCCAGGGACAGAGCAGGGGGCGGGGCTGGCGCCTGGGGTGGTGGGCCCAGGCCTGTAGAGGCCAAGCTGCTCGTGGCACCCAGTCCTGGTGTATAAGGGGCCGGGAACCGGGCGGTAGAGTTGTAGAGTGGAGAGGACCTGGGTTTGAGCTGGGGGGAGGGTGACACCAGCCAGGATGGGGTTTGGATGCAGCCCCATTGGAGCTCACCCTCTCTTGGGCCTCGCCCAGCACCTGCCCTGCAGAGGCAGGAGCTGAATCCTGGTCTGACAACTCGGTTCTGGCCCTTCTGCTAGGAATGCTGGGTCAGAAGCCTGTCTCGGCCCTGGCCTCGCCACCTTCTGGTTTCTGACCTCGGCTTCAGAGCCCACCTGCCCTCGCAGAGGCCCCCAGGGCACCCGAGGCTAGAGTTGGGGGCTGGCTCAATGTCCAGGAGACCCTGGCTGCTGAGGGAGCTGAGCGAGCGGACCCCAGGCCCACCCCGGGCCGCTGCTCCCCAGTTCCCGCGTCATCTCGGCCCCAGGGAGACCTGACTGGGTTACTGCTGGACGCCTTTGACGTGAGTGTCCTCGTCTGTGAGGAAGATCCCCAAACCCAGCCTGTCTCCCTGCCCAGACCTGCAGGGATCTGGAGAGAGTGCCATGGCTCCACGCGGCCTGAGAAGCGCCCAGGGCCTCTGGGTGCTGGTCTGTGCGTGAGCTCCCCTGGCGGCACACCACTCCCACCGCAGCCGTGCTGCAGGGCAGCGCCCCAGGAGCAGCAGACCCCGGGCCCTCTGCTCCCTAGGCTGATGAGCCGTGGCCCAGGAGGGCTCTGTGCGCCAGGCTATGGCGGGGCAACAGGGTGAAAGGCCACAGCCAGTGCAAGGCCCGCTTCACACACTGTGGGTCTGGTGGCCACACCTCAGTGGCAGCCTCAGAGGCCTCCAGAGCAGACCCCTGTCACAGGAGGCCTAGCTTGACGAGGCGTGAGAGGCCCGGGGACCCCTTCTGGGGTGTGGGGGACAGACCCTGCCTCCTGGGACCCTGGAACCCAGGCCCTTGTGTGACCCCTCCCTCGAGGGAGGGCACTAGCTGCCTCGCCTGCGACAGGTAGAATGCGCAGAGGTGGTTATGTGACACGAGGCGGTAACAGCATCTTGCCGGGGGCCGACCCTTGCTGTGATGAAGGAGACTCCCGTGAGCTGTCCTATGGAGAGGCCCACAGGGCAGCGCCCCAGGAGCAGCCTCCAGCCAGCAAGAAACAGGGCCCTCAGCCACCTGACCTGAACCCAGCAGCCTTGTGAGTGTGGGAAGTGGTTCCTTCCCCAGTTGAGTCTGGAGATGAGACGGCAGCCTGGCCAGTGCCTTGATGGCGGCATCATAGGACCCGGCTAAGCCGTGCTTGGACTCCTGATCCACAGAGACTGGGGGATCATAAGTGTGCGTTGTTTCAAGCCACTCACTTGTGGTGATGCTGTCACACAGTGCAGGTGGCTCACACACGTTGTCACACAGAACAGAGGCCACACGGAAGGTGGAAGAGCCTGTGCTGTCAGTGGCTCCCCACGGGCTGACAGCTGCCTGCTCGGCCTCCAGCACCAAGGCTACGATATCTCACGCCTTGACTCTGGGCTCAGAGAGGAATGAAACCCACGGAGCCAGGCAGACCCCCACTGCAGTGTTCCCAGGGGGCTGTGCTCCGCACGTCGGTCTGATGGGCAGGGCGAGGCTCGGCCTGGGAGAGGCTACTGCAGCCTCCTTGACTGCGGGACCCAGTCCCCACTGAGCTTTCCCTCCCCCTGCCCCACCTTCCAGAGGGTTCCACATCCTCTACCTTGGGGGACCTTCCCAGCCGGCCACAGGAGATGGGACTTCCCATGGTGGCCAGGGGGAAGGACCCAGCCTCCCAGGCTCTCTCAGGGCAGCATGGGGAGGGGGTTGGGGGGAGTAGCCTCGGGGGCAGCAGGATGCCCTCTGGGCCCAGTGTCCCCCCAACCCACCCCCGCCCAGCCCTGCTCTTTTTCCTGTAGCCCCAGCCACGAGAGCAGCCTCTCCTCTCCAAGCAGAAGGGAGGTAGGATAGGCTCCAGCTCCCACTCCGAGTGCCTCGTGCCCACGGTCCCCTGAGGGGCGTCTGAAGGCAGCCGGGAGGAGGTCTGACCCCTGGAAGTTCATAGGAAACTCCTCCAACCTTGTTCTGAATCTGCTTCCCGTGGGCTGCTTGGGGTGGAGGGCCACCACGGCAAAGGAAGCCTCTGAGATGGGCCCCCATCGTGGCCAAGGACCCAGCTCCCCATCCCCGGCCCCCGACGCCAAGGGCCCCTGTGTGCTGTCCCTGCTGTGCCCACCACCCACGCCTTGCGCTGCCTCCCCGGCCACACTGTGGACTCCTGGGCCCTCGCCTTCTTCCTCTTGGTCTCTCGCAGCCGCTGGCTCAGAGGAGGGTCTGGACAGACAAATGGATGAGTGAGCCACCCTTGACTCTGCTTTCCCGAGCAACCTAGGAGCGTTTAGGACGGAGCGCGTTGGGGAGCGCAGGGATGGATTCCAACCAGAACAAACACCTCGCAGTCAGCACTGGGGAAGCAGCACTGGATTTATTGCCCGTCCAGGGTCCCGGGAGCAGCCAGACAGGTCCCGCCTGCAGCCTGGCCGCAGCGGGTACACTGAGGGGCTGGGCACGCGGTGGGGGGGGGGCGGTGCCGCGGGCAAGCGGACGCCCACAGACCGTCCCGTGGGAACCCACGGCCGTTTGAACGACCTCTGCTGGCTCGCCCGCCCCCAGCCCAGGGCGCGTGCATCGTCACACAACGCATCCCAGAGCTTGCCGCGCTGGCGGCGAGGCATCCAACAGCGGAGTGAGCTGGTTGCAAGCGAGCGGGGAGTGGGGTCTCCTGGAATACGCCGGACTCTGCCCAAAAGAGCGAAACGACCTTCACCAGGAGGCAGCAGCAGGACAGGAGTTGAACCCCAAACGACTTCTGCACCCACGGCCGTCACAGCCCCTTCTCCAAGCAGCAGTTGTGTTCTCGAGGGCCTCGTGGGCAGGGATCTCGAGTAACATGTATCTAACAAAGACCCTCAGGAGCACAGGACCCTGCGTGGGGCCGGGGTCTCGTGGGGAGTCCGGGTGCCGCCTCTGCTGCCGAGGCTCTGGGAGGCCGGCACGTTTGGGGTCCCACTTCTGGAGGGCTGTGTGAGGGTGGGGCCCCGCCGCTCTCAGGCACCTCTGCTTCGCTCTCGGTGCTATGAATCAAGGTGGACACACGCGTCCTCACGGTGGGAGCTTCGCAGGGCCTCCTTTCGTCTGTCCGTCTGTCCTCACTTGGTGGTGGGCCCGGGTGCAGGCGCATCGCGCCCTCTGGGTCCTGCTCCTGCAGGACCAGCCCTGTCCTTGCCGTGGACGTGGCCATCGCTCTGGCGCCCGCAGTCTCCGCCGGCCCCCCGGCCCCCTCGCCCTCTGGGGAGAAGCTTTCTGGGGCATCAAAGAACGTGACCGCTTGTTCTTGGGGGTTTTGCTCTGCCAGAGCTGCCTCGTCTTCAGAGCTTTCGCTTTTCTTGGTGGGAGAGGAGGAGAGCCCTAATGTGGGAAATCGAAACCAGCCCGCCCTCTGGGGCTTCTTAGGGAGCTCTGCCTCAGGCCGTGCCCCAGGCTGTGTCTGGAGGGCAGCCGCCATGCGGGCCTCACCTTTGGAATCAGCGCGTGGCTCTTCGGCAGAGGAAGAAAACCCAATGTTCGGAAGCCAAAATCTGAACAGACCAGATCTTCTACCTCCTGGTTTCTCTCTTGGAGCCGAGTCTTCCTCTGCCAGGGAGGTAGCTGCCTCCCCGCTGGCTTCTTTAGGGGGAAATGCGAGAACTTCTGCAGCCTCGTCCTTGTCGGAGCAGCTGTCGGCACCCTGGTGGCCAGAGTGCATTTTGGGCGTGAACATTGGCTGTCTAGGCACATTGACACTGGGCGAGATCGCTTCAAACGGTCCTCCGGTGTCCGGCTGCAGACCTCCAGAGGCGGGCTCTGCTCCCAGGGCGGCTTGTTTGGAAGCCTCCTGCAGGTCGTCCCTCAGCCGGGAGTCTCGGACACTCACCCGCGTGCGGGGCTCCGGCATCTTCACCTTTAGCAATGAGAATCCGTAAGAAGCCGTTTGGATCTCAGATGCGGGGATCTCCAATTGCCGCACGACCTGGGTGGAAATAGCTTCGGGTCCCGAGAGGTCAGCCAACTCTGCCGTCGCCCTGCTGTGGACGGCAACCTCGGGGCCCTCTCCCTGCGCACGTTGAATGTGCACTCTGACCTCGGAAATGGGGGAAGCTTCCGGGGAGAAGCCAAGGGCCACAGGCTGCCCCCCGGGGGTCCCGGCACCTGCCCTCAGGATGCTGGCGCCCCAGACTCCCGGGCTTCCCTCGTGCAGGTCATGGGCAAGGCTGCTCCCCGGGCACCGCACTTCTGTCACGGCGGGGATAAAGACGTCGGCCTCGGAGCTGGGGTCAGGAAAGGCGAACCTTGGCACGCTTAACCTGGGCAGTCTGACGGTTACCACAGAGCCTTCCCAGGGCTGACCCATGCTAACGACAGAAACCTGGGACGGCCCATCGGTCCTGGACGCCTTCAGTTTAATGGGGCCTTCAGGCTGGGAGGGCCATTCCTCTGCCCGCCCCTGCCCCGCAGCAAGTCCCGGTCCTGCAGGCCCAGCAGGAGGGGCCTGGGTTCCTGAAAGCCTGCTGCTAGGCATCTGAAGAGGGAGGGAGTCTTCGCCTGGATGGACCCTGGCCTCGGAAGGGGAAAGGCCTGCAGCGGGCGCCCCTGCAGGAGAGAGGTGCGGCTCTGAGCGTTTGTCCTCAGGACTTCTCTTTAGGACGTCTGTGTCTGCGTGGGACGCGAGCTCCGCTGCTGCCTCGTCTGCCCCTACCTCTCGGGGCTGCAGGGACATAGCTTCTTCCACCTCTGACCCAGGAACACCCTGGCCCGTGACTGGAGCTGGGCTTTCTCCTTCCCTCAGTGCGCTGGCAGCAGGCACGGGCACTGGCGCCTCCCGAGCCCCAGCCGCCCCCCTCTCCTTGGCGGGGCGCCGGAGGCTGGGCAGGCGGAGCGCGGGCATCCTGAACCAGCCCCCCTGTGAGGCCGCGCTCTCCACCGCGGGAGCGTCCACATCTGCTGGGCTGCAGGACAGCTGCTGGGGGTCTCCTACTGAGGGGGCCGTCGCCTCGCCGAGAGGCTGGCTTGCTGAGCCGTCCCGGAGCCCGTGCCCTTGGCTGCTGTGTCCCAGAGACGGAGGGCCACCAGCTGACGATCTCACCCCCACCTTGGCCTTGCTGGGTCTGAGGTCGGGTCTGGCAAAGTCCAAAAGGGGAGCGTGGGCCTGTGGCAGATGGGGGTCCACGTCCGCTCCTTCTGGAGCACCACCCCCCGCCGGGGGCCTAGAGCGTGGAGCAGCGGGGTCTCCGCGTGGCAGGCCGGGCCCTCCCTCTGGAGTGAGCCCTGTGAGAGGTACGTGTTCCAGCACAGCGCAGCCAGGCGACCCCACGCCACTCTCCTCTCCGTCCTTCTCCGGAAGCGCGTCCACAGCCACCTCCACTGCAGACACAGGACACCCAGGGGGCACGCCCTTGTGACCCGTGTCCACAGCCACGCCGATCTCTGCGTCATCCAGGCTGCGTTCAGGGTCCTCTGGGGGCACCGCCCCGTTCTTTGGGGACCAGCTGAATGACGGAAGCTTGATCCACGGCATTTTTAAGGGACTATCTTTCCCTCCACGTTCAGTATCTTTAGCTGGGGTCTCACCTGCAGCCACTGCCGACGGCCACACACTGCGCGGCACAGCTGTGGAGTCCAGGCCCAGGGCAGGGCCAGTAGTGGATAGAGAGGGGGCACAATCCCCGGCACTGGCCTCCACCTCTGCATCGGCTGCTTCTGGGACAGAAAACCCGAACTTTGGTGGATGAAACTTAGGAAAACTCACCCGACCATATGACACAAGAAACATGGGGTCCACAGGGCCTGCGGGACTGTCAGTCTGGGATGCTGCAACTCTCTCCTGGGTTGGAAGACTGGCAGAACTTTCTGAGCTGGGAAGATAGGCATCGTTCTGGGAACAAGGGGCCGCTTCCAGAGGGAGCTCCGGGGAGACAGCGGCTCCAGGGAGAGTCACCTGGTATTTTGCAAGTACCTCACCCTTGGCGTCCTTCAGGTCCAGTTTGGGCCCCTTTATGTCCACCTTGGGCACCTTGATGCTGGGCTTCTGCAATTTGGGCAGGTGACCTTTGAGCGCAATTCCCAGCGCCACTTCCCTGGGCTCTGCTCTGAGAAGGTGGCCCTCTGGGAGCTTCACGCTCATCTTGGCGTCCTTGACCTCCAGCTCGGCGGAGGGCAGCTCGATGCTGAGGGCACTGGTCTTCACGTCGGCCTGCACTGAGGGCAGGGTCACCTGGGCCTGGACCTTGGGTACGGACTCTTCCAAGGCGGCTTCGACGGACTTCCTGGGAGCCGACACCCCGAAGGATGGCATCTTGAACTTGGGCATTTTGAACTTGCTGTCTCTAGCAGCCAATTCCTTGTCCCCAAGTGACACGTCACTCTCCAGCTTGGTTCCCGCAGCCTGGGTATCCACCTTCATGCTGAGCAGTGACACCTCCACGTTGGGGGTAGTCACCTCGCCCTTGGCGTCCTGCCAGTACAGTTTGGGCCCCTTGATATCCACCTGGGGGGCCTTGAGGTCCACCTGGGGCACACTGATGCTGGGTCCAGGCAACTTGGGCAGGTGGTCCTTAAGCCCGATTCCCACCACTGCTTCCTTGGGCTCCACTTCGGGAAGGTGGCCCTCCGGGAGCTTCACACGCACCTCGACAGCCTTGACATCCAGCTCGGTGGAGGGCAGCTCGATGCTGAGGTCACTGGTCTTGACGTCGGCCTGCACCGAGGGCAGGGTCACTTCGGCCTGGGCCTTGGGCACGGACACATCCACGGTGGCCTTGACAGACTTGCTGGGCGCTGACACCCCAACGGATGGCATCTTGAACTTGGG